CCAGCACCGTGCACGCTCTGGGGCTGGCTGCCAATGGCAGGTGCGTGCACTTTGATCCAGGGCAAGTGAAATGATCCCTGCTTTGGCATAAAACTTGGCTGGTATCTAAATGCTAGTGACAGCTGGGAGTGTGCTCAGACACAAAGTACATCTAAAACATGTAACTGTGTTTTCATTATTAAAGTAAATATGTAAAAGGAAATATACAAGACTGGGAAAACAGAAAAGTACAATAAGCCATAGTAGAAAACAACAGCAACAATCTATATATATATATAAAAGACTAATAGGCTAAGTGTCCAACCATCCGATTGGTCGCTATGATGTGCACTGACCACCAGGAGGCAGATGCTTAATGCAGGAGCTGCCATGAAGCGCACAGAGAAATGGCATTGTGGACCTGGTGCCCTCAAAGCAACACGCATCTTCCCCCACGTGGGACACAGGCTCTGTCACCACCCTGTAGCAACAGCCCACCAAAACACAGCCAACGCTGCCAAGACCCCTGGCACAAAAAGCGGCCCACAGCCCAGCCCAGAAACAGTCGCTGTGGGCGCCGGGTAATGATGTCACATAGCAATGCCCAGTTTCCTCTCTCTAGCGATGACTAGCCTCCTTGGAGTTTCTTCAGCCCAGGAACATGACTTGCTTTGTAGCCAGGTGCAAACATTTCACACTTTAACCAAATGTCTCTGAAGCGTTTTCCTGTGCCTCATCTCATTTGATGCTCACCGGAGTCCTGGAGTAGGTAGATAGGAGACTCGGTGGAATCCTATTTTCCTTTCATTAGCTGAAAATGGAGATTTAGAAAGTTTATAAACTTGACCTGACTAAAAAGAAGTAAGAAATGGTGGACCTTAAAAATGACTTCAGGTTTTCTCACTGCGCAGAATATAGTCAAGCACTACAATAATAACCGTTGATATTTAAGTTCAATTTCATGAACTAGCTTTATAGAAACATATATAAATATTTTACAGAGAGGAAGGGAGAAGGATAGAGAGCTAGAAACATGGATGAGAGAAAAACATCAATCAGCTGCCTCCTGCACACCCCCCCACTTGGGGATGTGCCCACAACCAAGGCACATGCCCTTGACCGGAATCAAACCTGGGACCTTTCAATCCATAGGCTGATGCTCTATCCACTGAGCCAAACCGGTTTTGGCTGTAGAAACATGTTTAATATAGCAGTAGTGTCTTCAGCTCAGAAGCTGGTATTTTTTTGGATGGGTGGATGAATGGATGGATGGAATAGACTAGAATATTTGGCAATGTTCTGGGTGCTTAAAAATGCATCTTAAAAATAGTGTTCCCCTGCTGGCATGGCTCAGTGTTTGAGCGTTGACCTATGAACCAGGAGGTCAAGATTCCATTCCTAGTCAGGGCATCCCCAGAGAGGGGCATGCAGAAGGAAGCCAACCAATGAATCTCTCTCACATTGCTCTTTCTCTCACTCCTCAATAAAAATATATTAAAAATAATTTAGTGTCATCTAGCTTGTTGAATAATAAATTATGACCCAGGAGAAATTTTTGATTTTTATGCTTTCCAAAGACTGAATAAGTAACTTCAGACAAGTCATTATGGGGCCAGTTATATCTAATTGTTGTAAGGATTAAATTAGTGAACATAAAGGAATTATTTAGCACCCTGCCTAATGCTTGTTAAATAGTCAGCATATTTTAAATTGTCTTTAAATTGAAGCAATATATATATTTTTTTAAAAAGCAAACATTCAAATGTACAAAAAGTTACGCAATGCAAAATAAATCTCTTCTGGTAAGTTTTCTGCTGTCATGACTACTTATCATTAGAGACCTCCAAGCAAAAATAACATTTCACTATTATTGATTAAGCAGAGATTGCTTTACAAACCAGCAGATAACCTCACTTGAGTCGGAACTATGTGAAATAACACAAGTATTCTGGCTAAATTCCAAGGGGAGTGATTAACATTCTCCAACTTGAAATAATTTTTATTATTAGCGAACATTTGTCCGTCCCCGATAATACACACGTTGCATGAAGGGCACAGAATGAGACAGCCCTCCCCTGGCATGTCCCCCGTCTGCACATACTTTCCACTGAGAGTTTCCCTTTCCTTCTGACTTGCTGGTCCGAAGCTCTTCAACACCCACTGCTTCCAACCCTGGCAAGTGTGTCCACCCAGAGTGCCAAGTATTTCCAAAAACACAAAGGAGATAAAATAGGAACACCTGTAGAAAGATGTCATGGCCATGTAGAACATATCTACTCATCGTTTTGATGTTTGTAAAGCTATTGGTATTTACTCCTTTTAACTCTAAGGCTGGGATTCATACACATGCCTCACGGTTTCCCCCACAAGCCTTATGGATAAGTGGGAGAGATTATCCTGCCGTTGAATCCCCCCATCTGTACCAAATGGAATCCAGGACACAAGAACAAGGACCGCGGCCTATCTCACCACTCCAGCCCTGAGCCCTCCACGTTCCCTGACCCTCCATCCAGCCTTTTCTCTCCACCTTTCCCAGAGGAAGAAGCGGGGGAGAGAGAAACAATCCAGGCCCTCCTGAATGAATGTCAATTATGCCAAACACCTCAGTCTTCCACCTAATTAGAACACGTAGGGAAAAGAGGCATTTTTTAGGACATTTAAAACGTGCAGCATAAAAACCCATCTGCAGAGCGCCGCTGTGTGTGCGTCTCCGCAGGTGGAGCGCCCAGCAGGGCTCCCCTCGGGCGGCGCTGCCCCTGCGCCCCGGCCCTGGGCGCTGCTGCGGCGGCGGCTGAGCAGCCTGCAGCCCCAGGGGGCCCGGCGCCCTGCCCGCTACACAGCCCGGAGCCAGCGCTGCTGCTCTCCGCGGGGGAACCGCCTGGGATGTTAAACCCCTAATAAAGGATTAACATCTCGCGTCTTGCAAAAACAGAAAGAAAAAAATCACTTTCTTGTCACCACCGCATGATGTTGTTAGGAAACGCGAGTCAAGGTTGAAACCTTGGAGATCCCTATTGCACACAGCGGGAGTGGTTCAAATTGTGCATGCATGCCGCAGCCCAGGGAATAGGTCGAGTACAGGTTTGCCACTTGAGCGCCTATCATTGTGCCAGGCGCTCGGAATAAAAGCTCTGGGAGCAAGATGGGGCTGAGGTTTTCTTTGGGGAACCAGCATGACTAGCTGGGGTACCTTGGTTAAGCTTCTGCACCTGTGAGGAGTACCTGCCTCCCAGAACTGCTGCAAGGACCTGAGGTCTTGTATTGAGATGTAAGCGATTAACACAGTAGGGGCTCCGGTGGCATCCGCTCTTCTCCGGACGTGAGCTCACCTCGTAGGAGGACAGCCCGGAGGGCAGACAGGTGCACAGTTAAGGGCGATTCTCTGAGCGGTTCTTTCCCTGGGAAACAAGCGCTGGGCTCGGTAACAATGCTCAGCTGCCGAGAAAACCGGCAGGGGCCCCGGGAGCAAAGGTTCCGGAGCTACAACGTCCCAGGAAAGGGAGCCCCGCACCGGTGGGGCGCCTGCGGACAACTCCCTGCAACTTCAGGCTTAGGCTTTCCCGCCCCGCGTCTCAAGAAGGCGTGATTAGCATACGCCCCGCCCCCGCCGCTTCCCGCCCCGCGATTGGCCCGCGTGGCTCGACTGCCCGCTCGGGGCGGGGCCGCGGGGCGCCCGAGGGGGCGGGGCCGCGCGGGGAGCAGGGAGGGGGCGGGGCCGCGCGGGGAGCGTGGCGGGGCGGCCCACCAACCGCGCCCCGGCCGGAGGGGGCGGGGCCGGGGCGGGGCGGGGCCTCCCGGGGGCATTAGAAGCAGGTGACCCGGCGGAGAGGGAGAGGCCAGTCCGCCCGCGGCCGTGACTCCCGTGCCGCCGCCGCCGCCGCGCGCCGCTCCGTGCCGGCCGGAGGTGGGCGAGCGAGAGGGTGCGAGTGCGCGGGGGAGGAGCCGGGGCGGGCGCGTCCCGGGAGCGCCGCCGCCGCCCCCCGGACTCGGCTGGAGCGCGGAGCCCCCTGCAGGGGAGGAGGCGAGCGGCGGGCGGGCGGGACGCGGCGGCGGCGGCGGCGGCGGCGGGCGCGCACCATGCAGTCCCGGCGGGGCCAGCGCCGCCCGTTCGCCGTGCCGTGAGCGGCGGGTGCTCCGGCCGCCGCGCCGCCTCCCTCTCGCCTTGGGCACTGCTGCAGCGGGCGGGCGCGCTCGCCCTCCGTGCGGCCCGGGACCCCGGCGGGACGCACGGCCTGCCCCTGCCTGGCCCGGCCCGGATCATGCGGGGGGCCCCGGAGGAGGAGAGGGCGAGCGACGGGCCTGCGGCGATCGCGTTCCGGGGGCGACCCCCGCTCTGAGACGCCCCCCACCTGCTGCCATGTGCCGCCGCCTCGGACGCCCAGCCGGTCGCCAAACTTTCCGGGTGCCAGCGGGGCTCTGAGTCTCCGCGCCTCGGAGCCGAGCGTCCCGGGGACGGAGGACCCAGCCCGGCGGTGGGATATCTGCTCCTTCCCGGAGCCGCGGAGGTGAGAGCCCGCGCCTTCCTCCCCCTTCTCCCCGGCCCCCGGCCCCCCGGCCCCCCGGTCCCCCCGCGCTTTTCCGGGGGCGCTGATCGCTCCGACCCCGGGTCCCAGCCTGCAGGGCCCGGGAGAGGGAGGCGGGCTGGGCGCCCGGAGGTGGAGGGGAGAGTTCGACCCGGAGGTCCGGAGCCCGCCGGCGGGGACGGAGCCGCGGACGCCCCTCTAACCGGGAGTGGGTGCGATGTCTCTTTTTTTAAAGAATACTTTCCCTGGAACCGGAGCCGCGCCGCCCCTCCCGAGCCCGGGCCCGAGCCGAGGGCCGGCAGCAGCGCCTTCCCGAAGCGGCTTGTCTCGGGGCGGATTTCTTGAAGAAGAAAAAGAAGAGCCAACAGGTTGCCGGCCCCGGCGCTGCACCCGGGCCGGCGGCGCGGGGGGCCCGGCGGCGCGGGGAGCCCGGCGGCCGGCGCGGGCGGAGCGGGGCGCGGGGCGGGCGGGACGGACGGAGGGAGGGAGTGGGGGGCTATGGCTCGGCCTGACCCCGCCGCGCCGCCCTCGCTGCTGCTGCTGCTGCTGGCGCAGCTGGCGGGCCGCGCGGCCGCCGCCTCCTCCTCCTCCTCCTCCAAGGCGCCCGTGTGCCAGCGGATCACGGTGCCCATGTGCCGCGGCATCGGCTACAACCTGACGCACATGCCCAACCAGTTCAACCACGACACGCAGGAGGAGGCGGGCCTGGAGGTGCACCAGTTCTGGCCGCTGGTGGAGATCCACTGCTCCCCGGACCTGCTCTTCTTCCTGTGCTCCATGTACACGCCCATCTGCCTGCCCGACTACCACAAGCCGCTGCCGCCCTGCCGCTCGGTGTGCGAGCGCGCCAAGGCCGGCTGCTCGCCGCTCATGCGCCAGTACGGCTTCGCCTGGCCCGAGCGCATGAGCTGCGACCGGCTGCCCGTGCTGGGCCGCGACGCCGAGGTGCTGTGCATGGATTACAACCGCAGCGAGGCCACCACGGCGGCCCCGCGGCCCTTCCCGGCCAGGCCCACCCTCCCGGGCCCGGCGGCGGCCGGGGCGCCGGCCTCCGGGGGCGCGGAGTGCGCCTCGGGGGGCCCGTCCGTGTGCCGGTGCCGGGAGCCCTTCGTGCCCATCGTGAAGGAGTCGCACCCGCTCTACAACAAGGTGCGCACGGGCCAGGTGCCCAACTGCGCCGTGCCCTGCTACCAGCCCTCCTTCAGCCCGGACGAGCGCACGTTCGCCACCTTCTGGATCGGCCTGTGGTCCGTGCTGTGCTTCCTGTCCACCTCCACCACCGTGGCCACCTTCCTCATCGACATGGAGCGCTTCCGCTACCCGGAGCGGCCCATCATCTTCCTGTCGGCCTGCTACCTGTGCGTGTCGCTGGGCTTCCTGGTGCGCCTGGCCGTGGGCCACGCCAGCGTGGCCTGCAGCCGCGAGCACAGCCACATCCACTACGAGACCACGGGCCCGGCGCTCTGCACCGTGGTCTTCCTGCTGGTGTACTTCTTCGGCATGGCCAGCTCCATCTGGTGGGTCATCCTGTCGCTCACCTGGTTCCTGGCGGCCGGCATGAAGTGGGGCAACGAGGCGATCGCGGGCTACGCGCAGTACTTCCACCTGGCCGCCTGGCTCATCCCCAGCGTCAAGTCCATCACGGCGCTGGCGCTCAGCTCCGTGGACGGCGACCCCGTGGCCGGCATCTGCTACGTGGGCAACCAGAACCTCAACTCGCTGCGCGGCTTCGTGCTGGGCCCGCTCGTGCTCTACCTGCTGGTGGGCACGCTCTTCCTGCTGGCGGGCTTCGTGTCTCTCTTCCGCATCCGCAGCGTCATCAAGCAGGGCGGCACCAAGACGGACAAGCTGGAGAAGCTGATGCTGCGCATCGGCGTGTTCACGCTGCTCTACACCGTGCCGGCCGGCGTGGTGGTGGCCTGCTACCTGTACGAGCAGCACTACCGGGAGGCCTGGGAGGCCGCGCTCACCTGCGCCTGCCCCGGCGCCGACGGCCGGCCGCGCGCCAAGCCCGAGTACTGGGTGCTCATGCTCAAGTACTTCATGTGCCTGGTGGTGGGCATCACCTCCGGCGTCTGGATCTGGTCCGGCAAGACGGTGGAGTCGTGGCGGCGCTTCACCGGCCGCTACTGCTGCTGCCGCCGGCGGAGGGGCCACAAGGGCGGCGGCGGCGGCTCGGCCACGGCCGCCCGGGACTACGGCGAGGCCAGCGCGGCGCTCACGGGCAGGACCGGGCCCCCGGGCCCCGCCAACGCCGCCGCCGCCGCCGCCGCCGCCGCCTACCACAAGCAGGTGTCCCTGTCGCACGTGTAGGGAGGAGGAGCGAGGGGGGGGGAGGGCTGTTTGGTCGGGGAGGCTTTGCCAAGGTCACTTCCGTTTGCCTTCCCGCTGCTGGCGCCCCCTCCTGGCCGAGCGGGGGAGAGCGCGGGGCGAGGGCCCTTCCCGGGGAGCAGCTGTCTGTCCCAGGACTGCTCAGAGGGGCTCAGCTCACGCCTGCTCTGTTTCACGTGTCTCGCTGCCTTCTTTAAGAGGACTCTGTTGTTGTTGTTGTTGTTTTTAATTTAATATGTATTTTTTTCTTTATTTTTTTTTAACTTTGTTGCATTTTTGGCAACAAAATTTTACCTTTGCTCTGGGGGGGCTTTACAATCCTGACATTGGCATTATCGTGAAGTTCCACCTGATGGAGGTTTCTTTCGACTGTGTGATCCGGACTGGAAAAAATATATTTCCTATTATGTGTGTCTTTTGGGGGGAAAAAAAAATGTGAACGGTGAACGAACGTGTGGGTTACTGTGGCCGAGCGCTCGCTGGGTGTGCGTTTCCAGCTTGTGTCTCCTGCTGCTGCTCCAAGTGTCCCGAGATGTTTTAAGGTGAGCTGCTCGCCCCTGTTTATGCAATTCCTTCCAGGTCATGCAACGAGAGCACCATGTGGTCAGGGCCTCCCCAGAGTGGCAGGGTTAGGGAGTGTTTAGCTTTGTTTAGTGAGCTGGGGGTGTATTCCCCCCCCCGTAATACTTGTAACCATTCTTATCCTTAGCAGCGCCAGCTTTTGGAATAAGCTAGAGGTAGCCTCACAGCGCCCAGCATAAATATTTGGAGTAATGAAGACCCACGGGGTGGAAATTGGTGGAGCTTGAATTCTAGACTGAAAAGGTGGCAGCTCTGCGCCAGAGAAGTGGGTGGTTCTTCACAGGCTTAAGCGAGCCCATCTTTTTTTTAACAAAACGTGTGCTATAATTTGGTCAAAGTAAACTCGCTCCTTCTGGAACTACTTAGGAATAGCGGCTAAGGGGGGCTGCTGGTAGGCTGAAGCACTAGAATGGATATACCTCCAGTAATTACGTAAATTTCCGACTTTACATGCTCCACCCCCACTCCACCTCCTTTATCATGTTAAACGGCCTTTTTGCCCCTCTCCGGCCTCCTCCTGGAGAGCTGTGATTAGAAACCACACCCACCCTCCACCGAGGTGCTGGAACTGGGGGAGGGAAGCTGGCTACCTGTGAACAGAATTGGGCAGCAGAGAGAGAAAAGGAGCGTCCCTGGGTTTTGGGTTAGTGTGTAGCCAGATATTCCGAAAGCTGTGAGACATTGCTCCCTGCAGTCTCTGAAAACAATGGAGGCCCACAACACACTTGCTTTAGTTTTGAAAAAGGAACCGGTGTGCCGCTGCAGCAGGAGGAAGGCTGCTTCCCCCGCCCCCTCCTCCCTCAAGTACATTTTTCTTTTTCTGAGAAAGCCGACGAGTTGACACACACACACATGCGCGCACACACTTTGCTGTAAGAGGATTCTGTTTGCTTTCCTAACTTAGCCATTCATATGTGGAAGCCTACATGATGAGTCTACACACACAGACTTCTTCACTATTAGAAAATTCTGTTTACTTTCCTAATCTGCTGAACCATTCATTCACGAAGAGAGGGAGGCTGGGCCTGGGGAAGAGGGTGATGGTACACTGGCCAGCAAAACACCAATGACCACGGCTGAGTGGGGACTAAATTTAGGAAGCCAAAATGGCAAAAGCCATTAAAACGTGAGCGCGTCTCCCTGGGGAAACACGTCGAGGGGATTTATGCTTCATTTATACCAGAGTTGGAAAAGTCAGATCGAAGCCCAAGTTCAGTTTCTACTTCATGGGTATTGAGTAAACAAACGACTAGTTCCCATGGTGAGTTTAAACACTGAGCTGGGGTGTGGGAAGCCTGGTGTTACGGCTTCAAGGGCTCTCAGAAGCTGTTCGGTTATAAAAATGCACTGCTCTTACCTATTCAGAACGGAGTCGGTTTTCAGTGGGGTTGACAAAACTCAGTGCACACAGCTCAGAGAACGCTTTGCACATCTTGTTCCTCCACTTACTCGGGTGACTCGGAACCTGAGACAGTTCCCCCGAGAGCCCATTCTCCTGGTCCCCAAACGAGGGCCTTTTCTGAGCGCCTTGACCTCTTCCCAGAAAGGGCAGGTGGTTCTGTTGTCTTCAGTCACCGTGCCTACTCTGGGTTGTCCTCCCTGCCCCCTTCTTTTTCTTTGTGGAGAAATGGTGCACAGTGTACCTAAAAGTTGTGGGATGAGTGGATGAAAGCAATTTAATTCATTAAAAAAAATTTTTTTTTCCATTCTGGCCAACTTAAAAAAGAACCACCCGTTTACTTTAAAAAATAAGAGTTAACACAAAGCATACGAGGCCCAGGAAAGGCAATCCAGGTAATGCTCTTTGGGGTCTGCTTTCAGAGCTGCCTTTTGTTTCCAGCCTGTTGTCTGCCTCGCTCTCCTCCTTTCCCTCCAGGAGAAAGCCCACCTGCTCCCTGAAGTCTCACTGGTACCTGCCACCCCAACATCATCCCGCCCCCGTTTGCATTTTTATTGTGCAAACCATACTCCTGAGAACAGTGATAAAACGGAAGGTCCTGGGGTGGTTTAGCAATTTCTTCCCAGCCAGCCTTGTGAAATGGGAGAGGACTGGGGACTTCTTTGGGCCTCACCTGGGCAGCCTTGGGGCTGTTCCTTTAACAGTTCTGTTTTAAGCAGCGTCTTTCCTCTAGGTTAGGGGGTGAGGATTTAGAAGGTTGTCTAAAGGAACTAACGTGCCCTCTCAGTGAATCAGTTGTCATGACCTTCATTTGTTATTTCCCTCCTCACTGTTTTGAAGTTGTCTAAATTGGGCTGAAACAATTTTTCTTGGTGCCTTATTGGTTTATCGTGGCAAACCTTTTGTCATCTTTTCACCTGACCACTTCCAGTGACGGGCCTGTGCAAGTGTGCTGTGTGTAGTTGTGCGCATGTACAAGCTGAAATAATGTGCCGACAGCACTGTTTCCAAACCGGTATTCATTAGGCCGTTTCCTCCTGGGCCAGGGCTGCGCGGATCCTGACACCGGCCGCCAGGAGCAAGCCTCCTGGATCCCACACCGAACCTTAATAGCAGCAGCGGTGACCTGCACTGTCAAGTACAGAATGGGACCCCCAGAGCTAGGAAATGTAGTTGTATATTTTAATGAACTGCTACCCCTGCTAAAGAGGCTCCTTTCACTTTTGTGCTCTACAGAAAAACCGAGGGGGGTAGAAGGGACAAAGCTTTGAATAACTGCTTTCTAACACCGAGTGTGGCAAACAGGACAGAGCACATCACAAATCTAGGCAGGTGTGAGGCAGAGGAGCTGAGATTCCCCACTCCCTCGGCATGTCCTTTCTTGCCTCCAAAGTCTAATCGAGTGATCTTGGCAAAGAAATGCCCGAGTTGGGGAGGGTGATTCTGAAAGAAAAAGCTACGAAGACATTAAAGCAGGGTGAGGGGTAGGCAAGTCGCTAAGTAACCTGACACAACTCAAAAACCTAGCAGCTTGATGACAATTACAGGATTGATTTCAGCCAGGGTAATGCCTGGGGTACATTTTATGACAATATTGTTCTTCATGTTGTTATAAACTGTATGTATAGTATGTATTTGATATGGGTGTGTATATACATAATATATAATACATACATATATGTGTATATATATGTGTATATATACATATATATATGAGAGATTTAGTGACTTTTGATACGGGTTTGGTGCAGGTGAATTTATTACTGAGCCAAATGAGGCACATACCGAGTCAGTAGTTCGAGTCCAGGGCATTTAAGGGCATTTGATACTTTTTATGATTTCCATATATGTATAGTGCCTATCCCATGCAGTAGCTTCACAAAGACATCTCCAGAACTCATGAATCAGAGCCAGTGATATTTTATTTGTAGACAATCAACTTGAATCGATGTTATTATTGGCAGATGATTATAATTCTGAGATCATAGCATTAACAAATGGAAACCCAGAGCATTTTGAGTTCTTTTTCTTGTTTTGTTTTGATCCTGGAAGTCAATAGAACAGCTGTGTATGTGGTTATGTTAGTCTCATGATAATTTGCTGACCTTATTATTTCAGAAAAATTTTGTGTATATTATATTTGTGGGAAGGTAAAATGATGCTTTGAAATTTTTATCAAATATGGAGAGTAGTTATTTATGAAAAACAAAGAAATGTCTATTTTTGTTTCTTTGTTCCCAACTAATGTAGATAAATTTTAAAGTGCATTAAAGCAATGGTAAAGAAAATGAGATGCTGTACAAGTCTTTTTCTCCTCATGCTTCTATAGAGACACACTGCTTTCTAAGAATATCTGAGGAGATACATGGATTCTAACTTCATAATCAGATTTCTCAAATGTACTTACAATATAAGTGGTAAAGTTTTTATTAATAAGTAAATCAAGCAAATTCCAATCACCAGAAACAGAAGAGAAACTTGTTTTACTTGAATATATTTCATGGGTTTTTCCTGCTGATCCTGTTAATTATTTCATAACTCACTTGAAGAAATGAAGGGAAATACACAGAAGAACAGACATTGCTTGAGAATGTGTTGTTTTATCAATCCTCCATCTATACTGTAATACCAGTGATTTTTTTTTTAATCTCATGGCACACATAAATTACTAAAATTTTTGGCACACTAAAAATATATTTTGCCAATCTGACAAAAATAGATATAACTTTGATTATCAAACATAATAATCTACCCTATTTGCTCCAAAGTTGACTTTTTAAAAAATCAGATGCTTATACTTGTATATAAGGATTTCTGGTACCAAGAATTAACAAATCAGATGCAACCTTATTCAATTTTACCAATAAGATGCAACATATGACCTATATATTTATGGTTCAAGAGAGGGTATTGACACCAGACAGCTATTGAGTTGGCTGCTGTCATTTTTTTATTTGACAGTTTAATAGGTCAGTGCCCCTTACTAGTCAGGTATTAAATG